ACCCCCACCATGGGCACCCGGCTGCCCTTCATTCTGTAGCCCCCGCCCCTCCTCTCCCCCTGCCCCATTTCTTTCTCTCTCTGGGGGTGCTGTCGCAGTGTGGCTGGGTGGTTTGTGAGCACGCTCTTTCTGGCAGATAATGGGCCCCTTTAGACCCCGCGGGGGTCTGTGATGGCACAGCTCGGATCGGGAACAGTGGGGGCTTTGATCCGGCGGGTGGGTTATCACAGCGGTCATTGAGGCGGGCTGGATTCGCCCTCTCCTGTCCCAGCCGCCCGCCCGCCCCGTTCCTGTGCCGACTCAGTCTTCTCTCTTTCCTCCCCGTCTAGGGATGTCTGCGGAGCACCCCCGCTTGATGCGACCATGTGGGAGCCAAAATGCCCCTTGAGCGGCCAACGGGTGAGCCCTCGGGAGGTCCGGGAAAGGGTGGAGGGGGTGTGCGGGAAGAGTCTTCGGGGGCAAAACGTGGGGTTGAAGGGCAGGAGAAGAGCCGGGACTCCGGGGTTCTCTCTGTGAGGGGGGCGTTTGTCTTGCGGGATGGATGTCCCGGTGGCCAGGCCAGTTATCTCGGGTACCAGCTTTTGGGGAAATCTTTGCCAACGGATCGGTGCACGTGGTGTCGAGTTAGGAGCTGAGATCTCTGCAAATGGAAGCAGCTGTTGAATCGGGAGCAAAGATCCCGGGGGTTATTCTCCTCTGTGTCTGAGGGGTGGGGGGGTGGGGGCCAGTCAGTGTTCCCTCTAAGTTGAGTTAGTGTGAGCCAGCTCACAGTTTTTTAGCTTCCGGCTCACACATTTTTGTCTTGGCTCAGGAAGGAGGGCTCCAGAGCAGACTAATTCATGCAGCAGCCAAATCGCTCGCTCACAACTTGAATGCCCGGTAGCTCACAAAGTAGAATTTTTGCTCACAAGACTCCATAGCTTAGAGGGAACGTTGGTGCCCGTGGCGGCGTCCTTTTGTTCCTCCTAGCAACCCCACCCCTGTACCATCCTCTGTGCAAGTCTCTCTCCTTCCCCTCCCCGTGGGGATTTGGGGAGGGGGCGCCCACCGGCAGCCGCACAACGCTGGGTGTGCGCTCCCTCCTCCTTTCCAGCTGTTGCCAGGAGAGAGAGGGGGTGGGGGAAGGGGGCGAGTCCCTCTGCTTCCTGCCCCCCCCACTTGAGACTTGGGGGGTGGAAGTGAGGAGACAGAAGGTTTGATTCCCGGCCAAGATGTTGGATGTCTTCTCCCCCCCACCCACCCACAAGTCCCCACGGCTCCCTTCTCTTGCTCTAACAGGCAGCTTTGCTGGGTTGTGTGTCTGCTGCGTATTGCTGAATTGGGAATTCCATGGTGATGGGGGGAAAGACACCTTCCATAGATGTGTGTTTGGGCAACAGCTGGCTCCTGGGGAATTGGTACAGGGTTGGCAGGGAGGGGCTTCCTCTCCCGACTGCTGCTTCCCGAAGGCGCATCTTTCACTCTGTGCACCAGAACTGTT